CATAGGTTTGTAGAAGTTAGGATGAAGGTCTTTTTCTTAACTCTGTTCATGTTATAACATTTTTGCTGTGAAGAAGAGGCATGTGATCTCCGCTGAGTCAAATTCAGTTTTGAGAACTGCAAAAGTAAACCAATCATCTGTGATAATATCTTGTAGGCAGAGAAACTGCCCAATAATCTTACAAAAACCTCTGGAGGAGCATGACATTGTGAATGGATTCATGGAATTTATTTACCAAAAAATTAAACATATACAGCCTTATTCTACATAATTAAAAAACTAATCTTTATTTCATGATGGAATAACCTTTGGATGGTTATATATTTTCCTCAAAAAACATTTTATTTAAAAAAATCAGATTTTAAATTAAAAAAATCTGATTTTTTTTTTTTTTTTTTTTTTTTTTTTAAAAATCATTGATTTTTATCCACCCTGTACTGAATATTAGGTTCAGTGAATTCCTGTGATATTCTATGTTTGTACACTTAACCAGGTGTGTAAGAGGGGCCGAGGATCTTGGAAAGGTCAAGGCAAAGAACAGAGGAACCCATCCTATGCAGCGGCTCTTACTGGGGTAGAGCTACACGTATGTGAACAGATTCTTGTGTTAGGAGATCATTGATGTCTTACCATCGTGTTATGGTTTTGCATGGGTAACCACGCACATTAGAGCCAAACACAGTAGCGTACCAAGGATCCCAAGCTAAGTATAAGTAAGCATCTGCACTATGGTATACCACAGTGAATTGTGGTGCACTCCAGTAAATAAAATCGATCAGGAGCTGTTTTTTGGCTGGCCTTTCTGCTCACATCTATCCCTAAAAAGTAAGGGTTCATGTACACTGCAGCTGATAAACTGATGTTCAGGAGCTTTTCTGCATTTTTTTTACCATCCCCTGAACTCTCCCTAATGTTTTCCTATGTGTCCACATACACATCGTCATTTACAGGCAGTTGAGTTTACAGTCGTTTTTTGAACGATTCCTTCAGGAGTTGATTGTATCAGCGGTTTAAAAACGCTTGTAAACGCGGCTAACCGCGTTTAGAAGCGTTTGCGCTTAGAAGCGTTTTTTAACTGTTCTATATCCAGTTGCTGTTCAGAGCCTTTTTTCATCATCAGAAATGCATGCAAAGCGTTTTCCATGTATTCAAATGGACCCGGTACACCAGCGCAGTCAGTTCCAGGTTTTGTGTGAAGGAAACAATGGTAGAACGTGCCGCATTATACTCATGATGGGATCCATAGTGAATACAACCAGAAAAGGCAGCTTATCTCAACACATACTGCTCTCTCTGCTTCTGCTCTCTCTCTTTCTCTCAAAATGTCTGAAATAGTTAATTTTTTACTGTTTATCAGTGCATTCTGGGCATTTTGGAAGGTCTCCTGAGGTTATCTTTAAAAAATGCTTCTAAATGCAAACGCTCATAAACGCGGTATGCAAACGCAGCTAAACTGACGTTTTTTAACCTACGTTTTCCAGCAGTCAGTTTCCATCGTTCAGAAGTGTTTTCCAAACCTCCTGTGTACATGGAGCCTAAGGCCCCATGTACACGGGACACTTCTGAATGATGGAAACTGACTGCTGGAAAACGTAGGTTAGAAAATGTGTCTGTATAGCTGCGTTTGCATAATTAATTTAAAGATAAGAACAGGAGAACCTCCCGAATGCACTGAAAAGTGGTAAATTATTAACTATTTCAGACTTTTAGAGAAACACGGAGAGCAGAAGCAGAGACATCAGGATATGTTGAGATTAGCTTAGGTGTGAGTTGCTCACTAACATTTCTTGTGTTTCCAAGGGTGGGAAAGGTGTCTGGTGGGGGGAGTCATTAAAGCCATCTGGCAGGGGGTCTTCATGAGGAATTTGAGGTGTGAATGGTCATTAACATATCTTTTGTTTCCAAGGGTGGGAGAGGTCTGAGGTGTGAATTGGTCATTACAATGTGTGACAATCTTAGTAGGAACATCCTGTTTTGTCCATCTGAGCAGGGGCGGACTGACAACTCATGGGGCCCCCGGGCAATAGGGAATCATGGGGCCCCTGTGTCCTTGCCCAAACTCAAAAAAGCCTATGAAAAAGGTACCAGGGGCATCTCATGGGGCCCCCTACTGACCCCAGTGCCTCGGGCAGTGCCCGAGTTTCCAAATGGTCAGTCCGCCCCTGAATCGGAGTACCTTGAAAACACTTTGCATGTATTTTTCATGATGAAAAAAGGCTCTGGACAGCATTGGAAACTGGAAGAGTTAAAAAAAAAAAAAAAAAAAAAACTGAAACCCAAACGCTTGTAAAAGCGATTTGCCGCGTTTAGCTGTGTTTACAAGCATTTTTCGTTTGAAACGCTGATAAAATCAACTGCTGAACGCAAGTTTTCTGCGTTCAAAAAAATGACTGTAAACTCAAATGCCTGTAAATGACTGTAAACGACGATGTGTACATGGACACATAGGAAAACATTAGGGAGAGTTCAGGGGCTGCTGAAAAAAACGCTGAACAGCTTCTAAACGTGAGTTTATCAACTGCAGTGTACATGAGCCCCAAGGCTGTGTTGCTATAACCGTTTACAGCGCAACTTTATTCTCTCAGTCAACATGGACTATTTTTAACATTATGCTGCTAGTGTTGGTAAATAGATAGGAATGAATATAATATTTATTTGTTTTAATGGGTTTTTTTTACATTTCTTGGGTTGCTTCCTGGTCTGGGCCAAAATGATGTCATTCATCTCAGAAGTCTTCATGGGCATTTTTTTTTTCATCTGGAGGAGGGGACGTTTTCTGCTAAGGGCTCCCTCCTACATGTATACCTGAGCTAAGGGCAGATGGATTCTAGGAAGAAAATGCTACATGAATCATCTGCCCTTACTCAAGATGGCCATGGCTAGAAATGCTAAGGGGGGGGGGGGGGTGTTTTACAAAGTGATTTCTTAACAAAATAAAGCATGGAGACATGGATGGATGGGTGAGTTTGCTTTGAATATAAAAATTGAATTCTGGACTCCAACCTATCCTTCCAGCCCCAAGTCCAATCTTTAACAAACTCATGCAGACTGCACCTCTGCAACATCGCCAAAATCCGCACGTTCCTAACCCCAGAAACCACTAAACAGCTCATCCACTCCCTCATCATATCACGACTCGACTACTGCAACTCCCTCCTCAATGGCCTGCCTCGCCGCTGGTTATCCCCGCTTCAGTCGATCCTGAATACGACTGCCAGACTCATTCACCTTTCCAACCGCTCCATCTCCGCCACCCCCCTCTGCCAATCCCTCCACTGGCTTCCGATTGCGCAACGGATCAAATTCAAAATCCTAACATTTACGTACAAAGCCGTCCACCATACTGCCCCGAACTACATCACTGACCTAATATCCAAGTACCGCCCCCAGTATGCACACTCCGCTCCTCACAAGACCTCCTTCTCTTTAGTTCCCTGGTCTCCTCCTCCCATGCCCGCCTCCAGGACTTCTCCAGGGTGTCACCCATCCTCTGGAACTCCCTGCCCCAACCCATCAGATTATCACCTACTCTCCTCTCCTTTAGGTGCACCCTGAAAACCCACCTCTTCAGGGAAGCCTACCCCACCCCCTGCTAACTTGCCGACCTCCTCCACTCTTCCTACCACTCCATCCCCCACAGCTATCTCCTCCTGTACCACCATCCCCTTCCTCCTAGATTGTAAGCTCGAAAGAGCAGGGTCCTCGATCCCCTCATGTTTTGCATTGTATTGGTATTGTTCTGTCACATGTTCTGTCCCCCTTTGTAATGTACAGCACTGAGCGAACTATCGGCACTTATAAATACTGTATAATAATAATAAGCATTTTCAGCTTGTGCTGCTCTGATACAGCCAGGGGCGGACTGACCATTCGAGCACTCGGGCACTGCCCGAGGGACCGGGGTCAGAAAGGGGCCCCATGAAATGCCCCTGGTACCTTTTTTTTTATAGGCTTTTTTGAGTTTGGGCAAGGACTCAGGGGCCCCATGATGCCCTATTGCCCGGGGGCCCCATGAGTTGTCAGTCCGCCCCTGGATACAGCTTAGTTCCGCTTTTAAGGAGATTCATATTCTTACAAATGCCAATTCTTTGTAGTCTTAAATTGTTTCAAAATGACGTCAAATATAGACAATGGATCTATTTGCTTTTTTTATATGAATTCTGCTGGTACTCTTATGTCTGCTGGGTATGTATTGTGTCAGCTGGGCTCCAGGTTTGTGCAATGCTGGCTTATCTAAGGTCTTTTCACGTCTCATGTAATAGGGAAAAGCATACAATAATACTTTAACAAAGATTAATAGAAAGCTTGAAATGTCAGATTTTTTTCACTGTGGTAATGGAGCAGACAGTCAATAATATTGATCTATAAAATTAGTGCCTTGTTACAGAAAATTCCCATAGCAAGTCCGTGATAGCAACTCTGAGCATTTCCTACTGTGCACCGTGAAGACGTAACCTCACATTACTGATTTGCCATTCAAAAAAAAAATGGTGATTTTTTTAAAGGGCCAGTAATCTTAAAACCGATATCTGTTATTGGTAGATTCTGGAGAGTTTAGCCATCTGACGGATTCTTGAATCACATAGGGTGGATTTTTGTGACTTTGGATTTCTGGGTCTGCACAACTGCTGGGGCCATTCAACAAAGAACTAAAAAAAAGACATTTGATTTTTTTTTTTTCCATCATCACAGCCTCACGTTGTTTATATACATATTTTTTTATAAACCATGAAATATATTTTTAAAATAAATATAATAATGATAATACATTTATTTATAAATAAAAATACATTCTTTACATTTCCCTGCATTCTGTAGTTGCACTATAACTGCAGACCGGCATGGAGAACATCAGCACCACCTACCGTGTTGACTACATTACTTTATTTCCCAGACTCATAAGGGTCTCACAACACTCATGTTTCTTCATATACTCTATATTTCCAAAAGTATTCCAATCCCCTCCATGGCCACAGGTGTATCAAATCAAGCACCTAGGCATGCAGACTACTTCTACAAACATTTGTGAAAGAATGGATCACTCTCAGGAGCTCAGTGACTCCAAGCGTGGTCCCGTGATAGGTTGTCACCTGTGCAATAAGTCCATCCGTGACGTTTCCTGGCTACTAAACATTCCACGCTCAACTGTTAGTGGGATTATAACAAAGTGGAAGCAACTGGGAACAACAGCAACTCAGCCACCAAGTGGTAGGCCACGTAAAATGACAGAGCGGGGTCAGCGCATGCTGAAGCACACAGTGCACAGAAGTCACCAACTGTCTGCAGAGTCAATAGCTAAAGACCTCCAAACTTCATGGTGTTTCTCTCCAGTAAAACCGGTGTGCCCGATAAATGATCCAACGGTGTGGCTGACTGAAGATGGAGGTCGATGAGAGACTCTATGGTCTCTGATCGCCTCTATCATGATGGAGGACCAGAGCAATCATGATGGAGGACGGCGGAAGATATAAACATTTTTTTTTTTTTTTTTAAAGCAAAAGTTCAAAAAAAAGTTTTTTTTATCTTTTGCTTTTAAAGATAAAGGAGAGATCTTGGGTCTTTTTGACCCCAGATCTCTCCTTAAAGAGGACCTGTCATGCAGATTTCTATTACAAGGGATGTTTACATTCCTTGTAATAGGAATCAAAGTGATTAAATTAAAAAAAGGGACAGTGTAAAAAACAATAAAATAACAAAATGTTTTTTCAAGTGCTCCTATTCCTCCGTGCACACGTGCAAATGTGAACACATACGTAAATCGTGCACGCATATATAAATGGTGTTCGCAGCACACATGTGCAATATCGCCATGAGAGCAAGAATTCTAGTGCTAGACCTGTAATTCTAAACCGGTAATCTGGAAAAATATCTGACAGTGTGGCATGTTGGGTATCTATTTACTTGCCGTAACATCCTCTTTCATATGTTAAAAAAAACAAAACATACCCCAATTTTTTGTAAGTGCATTTTTTCCCAAAAAAAATTGTGTTTGAAAAACTTCTGCGCAAATACCATATGATATTAAAAATCGCAACGATCACCAATTCATTCTCTAGGTCTTTGCTGAAAAAAAAACAATGTTTGGGGGTTATAAGTAATTTTGTAGCAAAAAATACTGATCTAAACTTGTAAACAAAACGTCCCAGAAAATGCTTGGTCTTCAAGTGGCTAGGATGATGGGTCGGGATTATGTATGTGGTCGGCACTACAGCACTGCGGAAGAATTAGAAGAGGCTCAGCGCAGGATGTGTTAATTTGCTCAAGCTCCCCTAGGGCCTGTAAAGTGTTTCAGAGCTTAGGAAGCCGTTTTTCACAGCGAGAGATACCCGGTCTCACATCCAGCTGCTGACTGAATCCAATCAATGCTTTCTTTACCACGTCAGGCTGAACCGAAGGCCGAGTTGATAAATACACATCGCAAGAGATGCAGGAACAGATAAATTGAAGCTTTTAAAAGGACTGCGGTCCGGCGGAAGTGGAGGATTCCATTGTAAGTCAGATGCTATTGAAATACAGGTTGTATATTAGTAAGATAACCCAACAGGAAACCCCTTTTTGTAAAGTATAGAGTCCAACAGATAGAGGGATTTCAGCTATGACCATTTGTACATTGTTACGTTGGTTCAGCTTGGACCAATGTCACCATACATGCACCTGTGGGATCCCTCTAGAACAGCGGTCATTAAATGGGGGGACCGCGGTCCAAGAACAGCCCGAGCTGCGCTCCCTTCTGGACTGCCAGCCCACCACACTGGAATGACAGATCATCTCAGCAGGCCGTTGTCACGGCAACTGATGACATCACGTGTGCGGGTTGCGCCCCGACCCTTGAAGCTCACTGTTTCTCCGGCTCCCGCTTCCTGCCTGTACACATCCTTCAGCATGGATCCCGGCACAGCTCCTGTCTGCCCTCACGGTAGAGTGTGGTCTTACAGGGGCACTCTGATGGGCACATTCTATGTTAAGGGGCACTCTGAGGGGCACAACATAGAATGTACCCATCAGAGTATCCCTTAACGTAGAATGTGCCCATCAAATGTGCCCCTTGACATAGAATGTACCCTTTAAGGTGAACGGTGTAGGAATTACAACAGTTTGCATATGTGCCCCCACTTGTTAAGGGACCAAAAGTAATGGGACAGAATAATCATAAATCAAACTTTCACTTTTTAATACTTGGTTACAAATCCTTTGCAGTCAATTACAGCCTGAAGTCTGGAACGCATAGACATCACCAGACGCTGGGTTTCATCCCTGGTGATGCTCTGCCAGGCCTCTACTACAACTGTCTTCAGTTCCTGCTTGTTCTTGGGGCATTTTCCCCTTCAGTTTTGTCTTCAGCAAGTGAAATGCATGCTCAATCGGATTCAGGTCAGGTGATTGACTTGGCCATTGCATAACATTCCACTTCTTTCCCTTAAAAAACTCTTTGGTTGCTTTTGAGTCTGCTTTGGGTCACTGTCCATCTGCACTGTGAAGCGGCGTCCAATGAGTTGTGAAGTATTTGGCTGAATATGAGCAGATAATATTGCCCGAAACACTTCAGAATTCATCCTGCTGCTTTTGTCAGCAGTCCATCATCATCATAAATACAAGAGAACCAGTTCCATTGGCAGCCATACATGCCCACGCCATGACACTACCACCACCATGCTTCACTGATGAGGTGGTATGCTTAGGATCATGAGCAGTTCCTTTCCTTCTCCATACTCTTCTCTTCCCATCACTCTGGTACAAGTTGATCTTGGTCTCATCTGTCCATAGGATGTTGTTCCAGAACTGTGAAGGCTTTTTTAGATGTCGTTTGGCAAACTCTAATCTGGCCTTCCTGTTTTTGAGGCTCACCAATGGTTTCCATCTTGTGGTGAACCCTCTGTATTCACTCTGATGAAGTCTTCTCTTGATTGTTGACTTTGACACACATACACCTACCTCCTGGAGAGTGTTCTTGATCTGGCCAACTGTTGTGAAGGGTGTTTTCTTCACCAGGGAAAGAATGCTTCGGTCATCCACCACAGTTGTTTTCCGTGGTCTTCCCGGGTCTTTTGGTGTGTTGCTGAGCTCACCATGCGTTCCTTCTTTTTAAGAATGTTCTAAACAGTTGTTTTGGCCACGCCTAATGTTTTTGCTATCTCTCTGATGGGTTTGTTTTGTTTTTTCAGCCTAATGATGGCTTGCTTCACTGATAGTGACAGCTCTTTGGATCTCATCTTGAGAGTTGACAGCAACAGATTCCAAATGCAAATAGCACACGTGAAATGAACTCTGAACCTTTTATCTGCTCATTGTAATTGGGATAATGAGGGAAAAACACACACTGGGCCATGGAACAGCTGAGAAGCCAATTGTCCCATTACTTTTGGTCCCTTAACAAGTGGGAGGCACATATGCAAACTGTTGTAATTCCTACACACGTTCACCTGATTTGGATGTAAATACCCTCAAATTAAAGCTGACAGTCTGCAGTTAAAGCACATCTTGTTCGTTAATTTCAAATCCATTGTGGTGGGTGTAAAGAGCCAAAAATGTTATAATTGTGTCGATGTCCCAATATTTAAGGACCTGACTGTATGTATGTATGTATATGTGTGTATATGTGTGTATGTATATACAGTTGTGTCCAAAATTATTCAACCCCCCAATGCTGTAAAGGGGTTTAGGGACTATAGTGTATCATTTTGGAATTGTATTCAGAATCAAATCCTACAAGGACGTTGTAACTACCCAAATGCAACTAAAATGACATCAATTGTTTATGTAATACAGTAGTAAATGGTTCTTATGTGGTTTCTTCATTGCCACAATTATTCAAACCCCTTAAAGACTACCACTCTGAAGAACAGAGGTTCATACAGGTGCTTTCCATCAGGTATTGAAAACACCTGTGGATGTCACCGAGCAGCAATCAAGCATAATAAGCACCAATTAGGCAGCTTTAAAATGACTGTGATACTCAGCTCCTTCTAGACATTTACTGGTGTGGTTACAAACATGGTGAAGGCAAGAGAATGGTCCAGGAAGACAAGAGAAGAGGTGATTTCTCTTCACAGGAAGGGCAATGGCTATAAGAAGATTGCAAAGATGTTAAACATACCAAGAGACACCTTAGGAAGCATCATTCGCAAATTCAAGGCAAAGGGCACTGTTTTTTTTTTTGAACCGCTACCTGGTCGTGGCAGAAAGAAGATGCTGACTTCGACTGCTGTGCGCTACCTGAAGCGTAGAGTGAGTGGAGAGAAGTCCCCGTGTGACTGCTGAGGAACTGAGAAAAGATTTGTCAGATGTGGGTACAGAAGTTTCAGCCCAGACAATAAGACGCACACTGCGTAATGAAGGCCTCCGTGCCAGAACTCCCAGGCGTACCCCCTTGCTGTCTCCAAAGAATAAGAAGAGTCGACTGCAGTATGCCAAAAGCCATGTGGACAAACCACAAAAGAGAGTTGTGGGATAGTGTTCTGTGGAATGATGAAACAAAATTAGAACTGTTTGGGCCCATGGATCAACGCTATGTTTGGAGGAGGAAGAACAAGGCCTATGATGAAAAGAACACCTTGCCTACTGTGAAGCATTGGTGGAGGGTCAATCATGCTTTGGGGCTGTTTTGCTTCTGCAGGTACAGGGAAGCTTCAGCGTGTGCAAGGCCAGTACCATGAATTCTCTCTTCAGTACCCAGGAGATATTGGATGGAAACGTGATGCAGTCCGTCACACACCTGAGGCTTGGGAGACGTTGGACCTTTCAACAGGACAATGATCCCAAGCATACCTCCAAGTCCACTAGAGCATGGTTGCAGAGGAAAGGCTGGAAACATTTTGGAGTGGCCATCGCAGTCACCAGACTTAAATCCGATTGAGAACCTCTGGTAGGACTTAAAGAAAGCAGTTGCAGTGCGCAAGCCTAAGAATGTGACCTGAACTGGAGGCCTTTTGCCCATGAAGAATGGGCTCGCGAAAGATACCCGTAGATCGCTGCAAGACACTTGTGTCAAGCTATGCTTCACGTTTAAAAGCTGTTATAACTGTAAAAGGATGCTGTACTAAGTACTAAGATGAATGTCACTTGGGGGTTGAATAAAACTGATAATGCTGTGAGCACAGAAAAGACATTTGTGGTTATTTCATTATAACTGTTATGTTATATTTGTCCTGACCTACAAGTGCCTCTTTAATGTAAATGTAAGCAAGATGACCTGAATGATCAAAAGCAATGTCAAACTGGCCAAAACACTCAATTTCAGTGGGGGTTGAATAATTTTGGACACAACTGTATATATATATATGAAATACTACTATTATGTTGAAATGCGGTTTTGATATATTACAAAATATATGAAAAACATTTTAAA